GCGTTCTTAGCCGTCCTTGCTGAGCTTTGGAGCTCGTTCTTCTGCTGGCTTTCTGCCTGTCTTAGTATATGCTGGAAGTCTTCTTCATCGATCTTGTGGCGCTGCAGCTGTCCGCACAGTTTTGAAAGATTCTTAACCAAACATACAGAACTGCATTCCATTAGATTGGAATCGCAGGTCACAGACTAGGTCCCAGTCAGGGAGAATACCGCATGTCAGGTGGGTGGGGCTGGCAAGCTGCAGTGTAGGCAGGATTCTTCTAGAAGGTCTATCTACTGTCCCTGGCGTATTCAGAGATTTACTGATGAGCTTTGCTCTCTAACCCTTGTAGATGTTTAAGAAAGATGTAGATTGCTAAATCATGAAACTGTTGAATTGCTAAGTATTGGCCAGTACTCGGATAGAGTACTCTGCCTTAGTGGCATTGCGGAGCCTGTGGAGCAAGAGGGTAACCTGGTAGGGACACAGTCTTGGACCATCCACAGGAAGTAATTAAAAGCAAGAAAGATTTGACTTAACTTTAAGAAAAAGACAATCTAATAAGCATTCAAGAGCATGCTTTATTATTCTAATTATTTTGATTAACTTCTTTTGTTGTTATAATTAAGTTATTAGATAAAGCAATTAGGCAAAACCACACATATCCTCTCTCACTCTCTGATCCCGAGGCCTTAGTCCTGTAAGAAAACTAAAGATGTCCTACTTCTTCATTCTATAAAAGACACACAGCCACCATGGAGCTGGTGCCTGACATAAACACAACCTGACTTTCAGTTTCAAGTCAAGTTTTCTTTCTCTCCTGCTGTGTCCTGAACCCAGAACAGCTGGGACTTGACATGGCTGGGGTTGTGAGGGCACGAAGGAAGGACAGACACACAGACAGATGTACAGAAAGCTCACCGTTCTCGCTCTGATGGACTGAACCTACTTGGCAACAACAGCTCAGAATCCCAGGGCATCCATTCTGTACAACACAGGAGGAGTTAGCTAGTCTTGGTAGGAAGTGTCTGTAGGCGAGCCGTCTGCCTGAGCAATCTCAGGTTGTACCTGTCTAGCAGGAAGCTGTGGTTGCCAGTGTGGCCAATCACTTGGATTAGAACAATAGTTCTCAAGCTTCCTAATGCTGTGATTCTTTAGTACATTTCCTCATGTGGTGGTGACTGCCAATCACAAAATTATTTCATTGCGGCTTCATAGCTGTAATTTTGCTACTGTTATGAATAGTAGTGTTAACATCTAGGTCCGTAGGGATTGTGATCCACAGGTTGAGAACCCCTGGGATAGAAGGCAGTTCTACTGTTCTCTGGGCCTCACTCCGGGAAGGCTTCACCAGTGTCTGTGGGTGTGAGGCCATTGGTGTCCTTGACAGCAATAGATGTCCACTCAGGACTTCACCCACTCCTTACACATCCACTTAGGACTTCTTGGGCCCTCAACAAGGGTCCCCCAGTGCATCATGCTGTTATTCCTTCAGAAAACCAAAAAGAAGAGAGGAAGAAACATCCCTTCTCTGTAAACTTGGCTTTGAAAACCTTTTGAATGACTTTTTTTTTTTTTCCAGAAAATAGTCTCAGTGGAGAAGAAAACCTAATACTGTTGCCCAAAGAGCATGTTTTCTTCTTGGTATTTTTTTTCCCCCTCCATAAACGTATTTCATGGCTTTAAATTGATTTAAAGTCCCATCTCTTTTCACTTGATACTGGAGCCTTGTTAACCGTGGTGGTCTGTATCACTGGGTAAGGTGCTACCATGAACATCTTCCGTGAGTTCTTAGGGAACATTTTAGGAACGGGATTACCAATCCTGGGTAAGGTGCTGCAGTGAATGTCTTCCCTACGTCTCTTAGGCAGGAACATTTTAGGAGTGGGATTACCAGTCCCCAGCTGAACTCTTTTAGTCCTTTCCTGGTGAGTCACTTTTAAGACCAGCCACAGGTCCTCCCACTTTACACAGGGGGATTTAAAGGTAGCAGTTACCATTTCTGTCAACAGATTTTATTGCGACATCGAAGTGTCTGTTTACTAAGGCGGTTACTCCTATCAATCCAGATGCACTTTTGTTTATTTTTCTGAAACACCTTATGGTTTTCCTTTCTGTTTTGAGACAGAGTCTCATATAGCTCTGGATGGCCTGGAATTCTCTATGTAGACCAGAGAATTCTGGCTAGCTTCAAACCCACACAGATCTGTCTGCTTCTGCTTCCTGAGTGCCTATATGAAAGACGTCTGCCACCATGTCTGGCTGCATTTTTCTTATTAAATATTTTTGGCAGTTCTGAGGATTGAACTCAGGGCCTTGTGCATACTAGGCCAGCATTCTGTCACCACACATACACCCCAGTCTCTTCTGAAGTAACTTTTATGAAGTCACTGGGTGGAGGTTGCTCTGTAAAGATGCTGTGGTCTCGCCTCTTCCCATCACGCGCTAACATCTTCACGTCACTCACATCTCATGACGTTCACTAGGCTTGTTTTCTGTGTTCTGTGCAGCTAACATCGCCCCTTTACTCCTATGGCGTTTTCTCATGTCTGATACTTTCTTTTTAAGGTATTATCCAAAGAGATGAGTCACCCATGGAGAAAGGGCTCTCCGGTCTTCGAGGACGGGACTTCGAGCTCTCTGACGCGTTTTATTTCTCCAAGAAGGGATTGGAAGCCATTGTGGAAGACGAGGTGACCCAGAGGTTCTCCTCTGAGGAGCTAGTGTCATGGAACCTCCTCACCAGAACCAATGTCAACTTCCAGTACATCAGTCCGAAGCTCACTATGGTGTGGGTGCTGGGTGTCCTAATACGCTACTGCTTTCTCCTGCCTCTGAGGTAAGTCTCCTGCCTGGTTTTATGGGTCCATCAGTCTAGCCTCCCTCTTCACGATGTGTGTAATGGCTGCTTAAGAGTACATGGAGTGGATTCCACCTCTTCCGGGTTAGGAAGCACCAGCAGGTGTGACCTGCAGCCACGTGTGATCCGTGTACTCCTTTTAGTTTTTTCTTCCAAATGAAGATGTGCATTCAAAACTTCTCTCTCTCTCTCTCTCTCTCTCTCTCTCTCTCTCTCTTCTCTCTGTGTGTGTGTGTGTGTGTGTGTGTGTGTGTGTGTGTATGTGTTTCATCTTTGCTCTTAGAGGGGTAAATAATTTGCGAACGTAGGTAAAAGAGAGTTAGAACAAGAGGGGGATACGTAGGTGACTCAGTCACTGAAGTGCTTGGCAGGCAAGCATGAGGACCCGATTCTATCCTAGAACTCACATGAGCTGAGTGTGGTGGCCCATGTGTGTCATCCCAGTGTTGGGGGAACAGAGACAGGCAGATCTCGGGCTCACTGGCCAGCAAGGCTAACCTACTTGGCCAGTTTCAGGCCAGTGAGAGACCCTGTCTTAAAAATAAGGTGGGTGACAGTTAAGCAATGACCCGAGAGGTTGCTCCCTGACCTCCCTGTGTGCATTCCCACACAGGAACACACACTCATCGCTACACACAAAGGAATTAGTTTCATATATGCCAGAGCATCAACTACAAAGCTGCCTGCGGGCATCACCTCTCATTGTTGTGCAGAACTGAGAGGTGTGTAGAGAGAGCAAGCCCCCGAGACCACACTGCAAGAACCCTTCAGCAGTTCGAATTTGTTCCATCCAATTCCATCTCTGCCATTCACTGGTAAAGGACCCCATGAGATCCTCTTCTGATCTGAGGCATGCGACCTCAAGACGGTAGATGATGCCAGGCAGGGAGATGACAGTGTGGTCGTGGTCTCTTCATGGTGATGGCAGGAAGTGGGCGTGTGCACCAGCCACAGTGTTGGTCACCTTGCTTCATTTTCTTGGGCACAACTGTGGTTTCCAGGAGTGGTTACTAGCCAGATACTACTGGCATGTGAATGGAAACTTCGCTTCCATGCCTAGGTGGGTGATACTGACCTCTCTCAGATCTAGCATGGGAGACAACATAGTTTACTTGTAAGTATTAAGTATTTCTAGCCAGATGGTGGTTGCACACGCCTTTAATCCCAGCACTCAGAAGGCAGAGGTAGGTGGATCTCTGTGAGTTCAAGGCCAGCCTGGTCTACAAGAGCTAGTTCCAGGACAGGCACCAAAGTTACAGAGAGACCTTGTCTCAAAAAACCAAAAAAAAAAAAAAAAAGTATTTCTTAAGTATAGACAGACACAAATCACTAAGTTCTGCTTCCATGTATGTATGTAAGTGTGTGTGTGTATGTGTGTGTGCATGCATGTATGTGTTTATATGTGTATGTGTGTGTCCCTTTGTGTCCTAATACTGTAGATTAGACTGTCTTTTGGGAATTGTTACGGCTTTGGTAAATGGTGAAATTCAGGACTGCATATATACTATTACCAGAACTGGAACCTGTCGGGGACCAGCCTCGACAAAAAAATACCTCTTCCCAGGGTAGGGGTGTGGGAATTTAGAAATATAAGTAAAGAATATGATGATGCATGAAAAATAATAAAACAGAAACCATAGAACAGTACCAGGAGGGCAGTCCAGTGAATACCGAAATTGTCCACGGTTAATTTTCCATATGCTTTTATACCCCCAATACAAAATGGGGGGGAGGGGAAGGCAACCAAAGCCTTCTTTAACATGATACAAAGGACAACTAGAACAGTTCATTGCTTTAACACTTTGAGACATCAAGTCATTAGCATTCTGTTGTTATAGTAGTGAAGCCACCCTAGACCAGGTATCCTGAAGGCAGCCACTCCTCAGCTAACCAACCGCCTATTACAGAAGGAGCAGAAGTACACTTGCATGTCCTGACCAACCGTCAGGATGGAGCGGATCTGCTTGTCTGAGCCATCTTAATGTCAAAAGACCAAGTAACCACATCCTGATTTCAGGATGTGGAGCTACACTTGTCAACAATTTTGAGCAACCTTTAAATTTTCTGACCGTCAGACAAAGTGGAAACAGGCTCACATTTTTGGGCCTCCACAGGAACCTTAATTCTTTGCTTCCAAAGTGGGGTCCAAGTATTCTGGGGATGCACAGGACTGTCTTTTGACATTTGAGAAAAAAAATACTAGATCTTTTTTGGGGGGTATTTTTTTTTTTTTTTGAGACAGGATTTCTGTGTAGCAGTTCTGGCTGTCCTGAAACTCACTCTATAGACCAGGCTGGCCTCGAACTTACTGATATCTGCCTGCCTCTGCCTCCCAAGAGCTGGGATTAAAGGTGTGTGCCTCTACTGCCAGGTAATACTAGAGCTTTTCATTTTTGGTTTGCTTATTTGATGCTTTTTGAGACAGGGTCTCATGAAGCCCAGATGGCCTTAAACTCACTAAGCAACCTGGAATGGACTTGAGCCCCTGATTCTCCTGCCTTGGCCTCCCAAGTGCTGAAATTACCAGCCTGTGTCCCCATAGAGCTTCTGTTTCTGAGAATTCACCATCTTTTAATCTTCCTCTCAGAATGAATCATAGAACGATCTATAGAGTCGTGTCGGCATCAACATATTTACCAGATCTTCCCATCACTGTATCAGACTCCATAATGCTCTGTCTCCAAAGTTAAAATAGTTTTGGTGTGGGGCTGGAGAGATGGCTTAGCAGTTAAGAGCATTGCCTGTTCTTCCAAAGGTCCTGAGTTCAATTCCCAGCAACCACATGGTGACTCACAACCACCTGTAATGAGGTCTGGTGCCCTCTTCTGGCCTTCAGGCACACACAGAATATTGTACAATAAATAAATAAATAAATAAATATTTAAAAAATAGTTTTGGTGTTCAGGAGGCTGTGAGGGAATTCTTCAGGCTGTGTCCCTAACGTCTGGCAAATGCTCACAGTAGCCTTCTCTTCTCTTTCAGGGTTACTCTGGCTTTCATTGGGATCAATTTGATGATTATAGGAACTACTGTGGTTGGACAGCTCCCAGACAGCAGGTGACGTGTCTCTTTCCTTCTAGCCTTACACAGGACTGTCCTCTTTCCCTCGCTGTGTCCACAAAGCTAGAATTGGGCTAGTCTGTCGGGTTTGCATTAATGTTATGCTCTTAAACCACTTGCGAGAATTCTTACCGAATTCATCTTTCATGGTCTTAATTTGATTTTTTTTTTTAATTTGTTCAAACTGAAAGTAAATTCTTCCAAGGGGAAAGGAAAAAAGAAAGTGAGGCTGAGGAACCCAGAGGAAAAACAGAGTCTTTGACCCCGGCAACCTGGGAGGTTCAGACCCAAGAAACTTCAGCTGATCTTTTAGAACTTTATTATAATCTGGTGGGGTGGGGGTTACTTCATACTGGAATTTTGTTTAATTCTCCTGATGTACTTTGGGTCTTTAATAGACAACACATCAACAAGATGGCAAGAATCACTCTTTGGCGCAAGGGAACCCAGGCTGCTGCCGCAGCGAGCAGCGCATTGAAGCTTTTATTGTGTTTCTTAGGAGTACCCAGAACAAGATAATAAAACGGTTTCTTTTTCTTTCAGCCTCAAAAACTGGCTGAGCGAACTGGTACATCTGACCTGCTCTAGGATCTGTGTCCGCTCGCTGTCTGGCACCATCCGTTATCATAACAAGTGCGTGTAGGCCCGTGGCTGCGGGCTTCAGATAGATCCAGCGGGCAGGGAGGGGGTGGGGTGACCAGGGCTGCGGGCTTCAGAAAGATCCAGCGGGAAGGGTGGGGGTGGGGGTGATGAGAGCTGGAAGGGGGTCCGGGAGGCAGCAGTGGGATCTGGGAACTTCTGTGTTCGTCATTGCTATGTTTTCAGAAGGAATACAAAAATTAACACTGAGCAGGGCTCGTAGATGGGCATGTGCTGAGGTGTGACCGTCTCGTAGGCTATTCCTGGGGGGTGGACACTGCTGTCTCACGGGAGACATGAATTGTGGGAACTCTGGGTCTGGTTGCCGAGGGTGGTGCAGGCTCAAAGTCAGGTTTTGAGTTGGGTCAGACTATTTTGAAGATGCAGCTGCTGGCAGTCCTGGGGTATGGCCGCGTCTGAGGCCTGTTTTCCACACTCAGTCTTGCCATTTCTAAAATTCTCTGCCTGGTTCCTAAGAGGGAATACTTTATTCTGCTCTCTTTATCCACAATCAGAGAATACGAGTAGCTAGGGAAAAAGGCATCAGCTAAATTAAAATGATTGTGATTGCTTTCGAATTACTTTTCTCATAATTCAATGTTATTTTTAAAAAACTTTGTTATTATTTACTATTATCATTCTTTTTGAGACAAGACCACGCTACTAACCCTGGTTGTCGTGGAAGTCATTAAGTAGCTCAGGCTAGTTTCCAGCTTGTGGCCGTCCTCTTGCCTTGTCTCCTAAGGGCTGGGGTAACAGATACAAGCCACCCTGCCTGGCAGCATCATAATTGTAAAAATTCTAGAACGAGCTCTTCCCAGCTTGACTGGTCTTGTTTACAGGCAGAAGCATGTTGTCATTTGGCTTGACCAGGTGTTAATCAACAAAGGGCTCCTTAAAGTTTTTAAACTGGTTGAGTGTGGTGGACCACAAGGCAATCTTAACATCTGGGAGGCTGAGGCAAGAGAATCAGATGTTCAAGGCCAGTCTCAGCTACCCAAGCCTGTTTGAGGCCAGCCTGGGCTACAAGAGACCCTGTCTCAACAACATAATAGCTTATTATACTCAGGCCAATCGACATAAATCAAAATAGTTGTGATTTAATGAAGCAAAATATAAATTACAAAGAGAATGTCGTGGACCCTCACACAGGTCATCGTAATACACAGGTTAATGTTCTAAAGATGGACCCGTGTACATAAAAACTTAAAAAAATAAAATCCTAACCCTAAGTATAGTAAGTCTTTTTTTTTTTTTTTCCCCGAGACAGGGTTTCTCTGTAGTTATTGAGGCCTGTCCTGGAACTAGCTCTTGTAGACCAGGCTGGCCTCAAACTCACAGAGATCCACCTGCTTCTGCCTCCCAAGTGCTGGGATTAAAGGCATGCGCCACCACTGCCCGGCATATGGTGAGTCTTTACATGCTGACCTGTAAAAATCAAGTGTTCCAAGGCGCAGTACTTATGGCTATTTTAATTGCAGGCAGTACAGACCCCAGAAGGGTGGCATTTGTGTGGCCAATCACACTTCTCCCATCGATGTCTTGATCCTGACCACGGATGGATGCTATGCCATGGTAAGAGCAGCTCCTTGTAGTTCAGTTGTGTGTGTTTGCTGCATCGCAAACTGAGCGCTAGTTGTTACTAGGGGTTTGGCTGGGGCCGAGCAGGATAGGCTACGCAGTGCATTTCCACAAGGAGCAAACACCGTGGGAAGAGAGCTGTAATAGTGAGGGCGGGGAAAACTCCTCCACAGACTTTGTAACGTTGTTTCATCTTGCTCTGAACATGCCAGCTGGTGTATTCCGTACAAAGTTTGTATTCCTCGCCTGAATTTTACAGATCCAGCCAGCCAGTTAGTTCTCTTTTCAGAGAGAGATCAGTACAATTCTTAAAAAATCTGTTTCTTTCGTGAGGATCAGGCAAGGAAGGCAAAATACTTGTGCCTCAGCCCAGGTTTCAGGTTTTGTCCACAGCCTCCAAAGAAAGCAAAGGAAAAGAGCAGAAAATTTGGTAACCACAAAGTCCACAGCAAAACCAGGTCCCCAGCGCCCTTTCTCGGGCACGGTGTTTCCGCCGTACCTTCTGTTGCTCAAACAGTTGGTCTTGACATTTCCTCTGCTGGGTGAATCCCAGATGCTGACTCAAGCTTCCTCCTGCTCACGGGTCAGATGTGGCCTAAGGAGGTGTGGGCACAGGACGACTAGACAAGTGTCCGGGGTTCTCCTCTGCTCACAGTTGAGGGTGTAGATGGAGGGTCAGGCTGTGAGGACAGACGGTGGCTTTTGTTCACCGGTCAGTTCTGCAGATTGCAACTGGTGGTCTAGGGTGCTTTTCTGGGAAGGCCTTTGAAGGGAACCTTACTGGTGTGTGTGTGTGTGTGTGTGTGTGTGTGTGTGTGTGTGTGTGTGTGCTGAGTGAGTGGGGAGTGCCATCATGAACACCGGTTTTCACGGTCCCAGCGTGTATACTCTCCATGGGTTGTATGACCAACAAGGCCTCTGTAAAGATTCCCACTTGCTGCTGTGTTTGCATTGTCTAAGATTGTAAGCTCAGTGGATTTCGACATGTTCCCATGGTAGAACACTTGTCTAGCAAGTGTGAAACTCTGGAATCTAGCCCCAGCACTGTCAGAAAAGAAATAAAAATGTCTAAAATAAAAGTACAACCTAGACATGGTGGTATATTTCTATAATCCTAGCACTCAGAAGGGAGAGGCAGGAGGATAGTTGTGAGTTTGAGGCCAGCCTGGACTACATAGCAAGTTACAGGCCAGTCAGAGCTACACAAGAGAGATTCTGACACACCCCATTTCCATGCCAAAGTAAATAAATAGTGAAATAAAATCTTCAGAACATGTAACTCTTAGACAAGTACTTTTTAATAAGTCATTAAGTTAAGTGAGCTTATTTTGAACCTAAGGATTTTTTTAAATCATCTATCTTTTGGTAGGTTAGTGAACAGTTGATGGTTATATACTTTGAAAAATGAAAAGAAACTGGAAAAAATACACACATATGTGTCATACAAACACAATTTTGTTTATCATTTCAGTCCGTAGACACCCAAGGCATCCCTCAGAGCCCCAGAACATGCTTGGGCATCCGTTAGCCTTTCGGGTATGTGGACACGTCTGCTCCACCCACTGTATCTGACTTTCTCTGTGATGCAGTTAAGTCAGGCCTGGGGTTGCATTGTAGGAGGAGAGGCAGAAGCCTAGGCCGCTGATCTGCCTCTCTCAGGTCTACCTTGTGCTGACCAGCTAACAGAGCACTGCAGATGGGGTAGGAGGAGAGGCAGAAGCCTAGGCTGCTGCTCTGCCTCTCTCAGGTCTACCTTGTGCTGACCAGCTAACAGAGCACTGCAGATGGGGTAATTTATGAGGAACAGAAGTTCCTGGCTCACCCTGCAGGGTGAGGAGTCTAAAGTCAGGATGTCTAGTGAGGATTTGACTGTCAGAAGGAAGGCCTAGAGTTACAAAAGGACGTCTGCCCCCAAGAGCACTCCACTTTGAAAAGATATTTATTTTCATTTTTTGCATGTGATTGTCTTGCCTGTATGTCTGTCTGTGCATCATGTGTGTGCAACTCCCTAGGAGGCCAGAAAAGGCGGTGGATTCTCTGTACCTAGATGGGGTGAACTGCCATGTGGGTGTTGGGAACCAAACTCAGGTCCCTGAGAGAGCAGCACGTGCTCTTGACTGCTGAGCCATCTCTCCAGCCTCAGCAAGAGCACTCTTTATAATGGTTTTAATTTGTTCATTTGAGCAGGGCTGTCGTGATCCAGGCCTGTCCCCTTAAGTCATTTCTATAGCACTGTTGCACTGGGGACTCAGTTTCCAGGACCTGAATTCCAGGGGATGTGCTCAAACCATAGCAACGGTTTAGTTATGATTTGGGGTTTCTGAGACCACACCCTATTTCTTCTGTGCTCTGGCCAACAAAGAATTGACTATCATACATTTGAAACTGAGGACCACAGAGTATTGCTGATCTCTTTGTAGGTTCCCAACATTGTTGCTTGGTCATCCTTTCTTATTTCTTCTTAAAGGGTTAAAAATGCAAATGTATCATTTCATTTTTCATTGCATCCCAAAGACAACAGGCTTATCTGTTTTTGCCTTTGTCACTTAACATCAGTGTCTGGAAAAAAGCATCACTCCTTATCTGCCCTAGAGGTCAGCCTTGTCCTTTGCTCATCATATTCTACTGTACATATGCATGTGTGTATGCATGTGTGTATGCACACACGCATATAATACACACATGCACACAGATGTATTCACTGTATATGTGCATGTGTATGCACACACATACACACATATTCTACTGTATGTATGCATGTGTACGTACAAACATGCACACGCACATACACACATGTGCACATACATATTCACTGTATATATGCATGTGTATGCACCCCCCCCCACACCCCTCTACCACCATCACATCATTGACACTATTGTTCATCCGTTTCGACATTTAGGTAGCTTTCAATATTTTGCAATAATAAGCAATGCTATATCTTATAATCTTTTGAGCATGTATTTTTATTGTGCCAATATATTTTCAGGGAGAATTTCTAGAAGAGTAATGATTGAAATGGAGGATAATTGACTATGTCATCTTGACAGCTGTTAGATGTCCTCACTCCTTCCCCCAGATCCTTGTGTGGTATCAGGCACTAAGTCCTTGCTGTTCATTTGAAATCATAGTTCAGTGTAGCTTTGACTTGCATTTCTGTGACCTTGATGAAGCCGAGGGATCTCTGTTTTTCAGAGTTGTAGGCCAGTCCGTGGAGCGAAGTGACTTTAACGTCCAGGGTGCTGCTAAAGAGCACATTTTGGCTTGTATTTGGCTTTGCAAATCTGTTGACTAGATTTGGGACTTACCTGTCAGTAAAAGGCAGCCAGCCTACTCTCTGAGTGGGAAACAGGATTTCTTCTCTTGAAAAGACCCCTTGCATCTTGTGGGTGGCTGTACCTTTATGTTTTTCTGTTTCTCCTGATACTTCTAGGTTGGACAGGTTCATGGTGGGTTGATGGGAATCCTTCAGAGAGCCATGGTGAAGGCTTGTCCACACGTCTGGTTTGAGCGCTCAGAAATGAGGGACCGACACCTGGTCACTAAGAGGTAAGCAGTGCAGTTCCTTGGCCTTCATTGGAGGAACAGAGAAGCTGATTGACTTGGGTCTTTTGGCCAAAGGACAAAAAAAAAAAAATATTAAGATGGGAACAAAATCAGGCAAAGCTCTATTTTTCTGGAGTCATTGATAGGGCTGATGTAATAATTCTGTAGTCAGGGGGATATATGGCTGCATATAACCAGATTGGAAAGCTCAGACATCTGCTTTGCTATGACTTGAGTATAATCATTGAACTGTTAAAAGTTTAAAATTTTAAAAATTTATTAGCTGAATAAATGATCGTTTTTGCTGAGTGGCTCCAGCCATTAGAATCTAGTTACAGAGAGCAATGATCACCGCTGTATCTTTCTGTCACTGTCACAAAATGCATGAAAATCAATACAGTAGGGGAAACGGTTTATTTCGACTCCTGGTTTTGGGGTTGTCAGTGTGTGGTCCCTTGGATCTGGTGCTTGGGTCTGTGACTACACAAGAAACTGAAAGTTTGTGGCAGAAGAAGTCTGCTCACTTCATGGGGACTGGGAAACAAGAGAGAGTGGAGGGACCATGGTCTCAGTCTTCCCAACAAGGGCAGGTACCTAGTGACCAACGTCTTTCTTCTAACCCCATCTCCTAAAGGCTCCATCACCCCTCAGTAGTGCCACAGGTGGCCGCTAAACCATGAACACATGGCTGCAGAGAGTACATCCAGCGATGGCAGATCTTTACGGAAAGAGAGATGAGCCCAGCAGGAAGAAAGCTAAGGAAAAGCTTTCCCTGTAGAGGCCGTGCTTACTGCTTTTAGACATGCAGGGGTGGCCTGTGTTCCTAATGGAAACCTTTTGCTCTCTGTGGAGCCCAGGCCAGACTTACTTGAGCCAGGCTCCTGTCTCACCCTCCTGAATACTGGGTTTCCCATACCTGGTTTAAGTGTTTGACTTTATAGGAAAGCTCATCCTGACTCATCTGAGGGGTTACTTACTTAATGGCCATAAAGCAGACAGATCAAGCTCCATTGGACTTCCCATTTTTTCCACACACGGACTTACCAACACATGGAGAAAGGCAGAACACTAATGGCACATGGCTGTCTAAGTCCCTTTTAAGAGCAGATGGAAGAGCTGGACCTGGCAGTGCATACCTGCAGTCCCAGGACTTGGAGAGTGGAGACAGGAGGTCAGGAGTTCAAACTCATTCTCACTTATGTAGTGAGTTCAAGGCCAGCTGAAGCTAGTGAGACACTGTCCCAAACACACTAGGCTGAAGTTACCAAAACCCACTCACTCCAGAGAAAATGAGAGAGCCCCAATTTCCTTGTCCCCTTGTGCCTTATCTCTTTCTCTTTGTCAGTTATTTCTTGTCTTACTTTTTTTCCCTGCTAGCAGGATATGATGAACAAGGACTCTTATCTCTTTGTCTCTCAAGATTGACTCCTAGATCCTTTATTTTTTCTTTACAGATTAAAAGAACACATCGCTGATAAGAAAAAGCTGCCCATATTAATCTTCCCTGAAGGTAAGAGCAGAGACTGCCCACCAGTCTACAGCTGACGGCAGTAAGCCACCTGAGGGACTCTTCGACACCCTTCGAGGAAGGGACGGGAGCCTTTTCTTTTCCAGCTTTCTGATGGGTCACAGAACCTAGTGATTTTTTTTTTTCCTTTTCAAGACAGGGTTTCTTTATATAACGGTCCTGGCTGTCCTAGAACTCGATTTGTAGACTAGGTTGGCCTTGAACTCACAGAGATCCACCTGCCTCTGCCTCCTGAGTGCTGGGATTAAAGATGTGCACCACCACCCGATACTTATTTGATCTGTAAAGTAATTTTTCCACAGTGGTATTAAATAGCATGGTCTACGACTTTGTAGGTGTTGTACTTGAAATGCATTGAAATTGTCAATCATTGTGATGGGGTTGTTGCTAAGTGTTTAGTGGCAAAGTGAAAGTTTGCTGCTAAAATTATTCCAAACTTTTGAATTGGTTTTGAAGCAAGCGTTGCCTTTCAAAGTAGCAGTGAAGTGTCTGCGGCTTTGACATCCAGATACATGCACCCATGTGAAAAATGTAATAATCTCTAGAGCAATTCCTTTTAAAATTTGTTTTTAAAAAGTGACTTGAAGGCGGAGACTGCCCATGTGTTTCCCGGCTGCCCGGACCCGAATACACACAGAAACTATGTTAATCACAGCATGGTTTGGCCAACAGCTCAATCGGGTTTCTGGCTAGCTCTTATATCTGAAATTAACCCATTTCTATTAATCTGTGTATCACTACAAGGTTCATGGTTTACCCATAGTAATCCGGGTGGCTGTCTCCTTCGGCAGTTACAGGGCGGCTCCATGTTGACTCCCGACTCTCTTTCTATCTCTGTTGGAATTTACCACCTGGCTTTACTCTGCTAAGCCATTGGCCAAAACAGCTTTATTTGTTAACGAATCAAAGCAACAATAAAATATAAAATAAAAGGACATCCCACATCAGTGACTCACTTCCTCACCTCCTCTGCCAGGTACCTGCATCAACAATACTTCCGTCATGATGTTTAAGAAAGGAAGCTTTGAAATCGGAGGGACCATCTACCCAGTGGCGATGAAGGTAGAATTCAAGTTTCAAATGGGGGCCTTTGATTGTTAGCTTTATTTGATATTGTTACAAAAGTTTTATTTGATAGCATTCCAAATTTAAAGCATGCAAGAATGAAGAACGCTTGTATATTCAGTTTCTTTGGATCTTTATAGTGTACATTTTGAGCTTAGTCTCTCTAGATAGATAATCAACAATTGATAGACAAGTGATAGACACATGCATAGATAACTGGTAGATGATATATAGATGCTCAGATAATAGGTAGATACTTAGAGACGGAGATAGGAAGATGCATAAATACAGAAAGATAGATAGTTGGACAGACAGGATGACTATCAGCCGAGGTTGTATCGATACTAATACAAATATTATTGGTGGGCAAATATGATTGACTCCTGATTTTGCTGACTTTCTAATTAAGTGTGAAGTCACATATTTAGAAGTCATGTAAATAGCTTTCTTAGTGTAGCACTCTGGCTCTATTTAGCAAAGCAGTTGGCACTACTTGAAGGCATTAGTGGGATTGACTTAGTTCTTGCTAAGAATTTTATCAAGAAAAGTCAGTTCTCTCGGGGTCTGATAGGCTCATTTATCTTACCACCTGAAAAACTCTGATTTGGATGAGAGAAGCCAGCATAGAATTCATGGCTGGGATGATTGTTTTCTTGCAGTACAACCCCCAGTTTGGTGACGCGTTCTGGAACAGTAGCAAATACAACATGGTGAGCTACTTGCTTCGAATAATGACCAGCTGGGCCATCGTCTGCGATGTGTGGTACATGCCTCCCATGACCAGAGAGGTATTGCTTAGACCATGTCCAGTCTTTGATGCTTTATATTTAATCAGATAAAAGCAAGGAAACCTTTTCCTAAAGCCTTGGGTAGTTCCATTCCTCCCATCATGCTTTTCTTCATTCCTAGCAAACGGAGTATTTCTTAGTAACGTGTTTAATATTAGAAAAACAGATAAAAATGTTGATGATTTTCAGGCATTTAAAAACATCACTCTCAATTGACGTAACCATTTTATTTAACTAGGAAGGAGAAGATGCGGTTCAGTTTGCGAACAGGGTTAAATCCGCCATCGCTATACAAGGAGGACTGACAGAGCTGCCTTGGTAAGATCCTCTCAGAAGCAATTGTCTTCTTTTGTAAAGATGCATACATTTGACAAAATCACACTAGTTAGCTATAGATTTATCAAAAAGTACGTAAGAAAAACTTAAGTAGGTAGACGCTTCTGTCTTTCACCTTAGCCTGGGAGTCCAGGCTGGCTAACAGCTTCACCTTTATTCCTATACCCACCCCTATCTTCTGGCCCAAAATAGTGGTTCTACCTTCACCCAGTGAGCACAGCAAATGACTGACTGGGGGCCCTTGGAAAAGGACACGCCCATCTCCATAGGCGCACACACTGGAAATTGCACAAGTAACAAACTTGTTTCTGTCTGCTGCAAGTCTCGGGATAGCAGTGAGCTGCAAAGGAAACTGGATAATGTAGTCTTTGCGCTGGATGACCATGCTCTTAGATAAAAGCGAGAGTTCTTTTACTGAAGAAGAGGAAGGGAGAGGGAGCCTGGATTTAGGGGCAGGGCTGTTTGTGTTTCATTCTCACTGTAGCTGTATCAGAAAACTGAAGGATGGGAAGAAAGGAAGGAAGTGAGATATTTTGATGATAGATAACTATAGCTTTCTTTCTTTTTTTTTATCTGATGAAGGACTAATGTAGGTGTGCGCATTGGTCAGCTTGGCTTGCCATAACCACAGAGTGGTGTCTTCATGGAATTTGTTTGCTCCACGTTCCGAGGGCTAGAGGTTCGAGCTTAGGATGGCCAGCCAGTTTCTGGTGCGGGTTCTTCCTTGGGTTTCAGAAGGCTGCTTTCTTCGTTCAAGCACGGAGAGAGCAAACTCTCTAGTGTCTCTTGAAATAAGAGCACGACTCGCTACAAGGGCCCCACCCTTTTGACCCCGTCCAACCCTAATAAACCTACAGTCCCCATTGTCAAGTCTTGTCACACTGGGAGTTCGGCTCAGCTTACACGTAAATGAGGAAAGGCATTTTTGGAGGAAAGCGATGAGCAGCAAGGGTTAACTCTACCCACCTTGTAGGAGGAGGCCAATCCCCGTGTGAGCGAGCTGTCACCAAATCGTCTGTATTTTAAGCCCAGCAAGTTCAGTAAAGTCGCTATGACCATTTTGGATGTTTCAAAATACTTTATATGGTGAGTTCAACTAAGGCAGTTGTAGTGATTCTCTAGGATTTGATTTCTGAGTTAACATCAACAAGAATAGCCTCAGCATAGGGGATCGGGATTATTTAGGGGCCATATCTTCAAAGATGGCCTGGCTAGCATTTTATATTCCTTTATCCAATAGTAGAGAATGTCACTAAAATAGATTTGCTCATTCACCTATCTTGAAATCAGTTAATTTATGCCGTCCCAGCCGATTTCTCTCAAACACTGCTTTTTCTGATGCTAATTTTTATAGCAAAAAAGTCATTTTAGAAGTTATTATCCTAATTAGCCTATTTTGGAAATTGATGGGAGCTGGAAGTAGATGCCACGTGACTGCTGGGCGTCTGAATTCTTGACTGGCAGAAGCTGATGTGCTCTAAGCCGCAGGCTAAGATGAGCATCTCTTCGTCTTGCAATCTAATCCGGAAGTGTTAAACTGGCAAACACTAACATCACAGAACTGTAGGCCTCCCTCAGACTAGAAGTATCTTAGATTCTTCAGGTTCATGTGTGTAGCTGCCTTCCTCTTTTTCCTCTTCTTAAAACCTCTTTTCCCAATGCTTCCTCTTACCCGACATGCTAACCCTATCTGAATCTATTATGAAAAGCTTGTGGCTGGGTCTGTGGTTTCAGGCACAGGGAGAGAAGCAAGCACGCACACACACACACACACACACACACGGGGGGGGCAGTGAGGGAAAGAGAGAAAGAGAGAGAGAGAGAGAGAGAGAGAGAGAGAGAGGGAAAGCAGGTAGACTCACTGTCAGGTTCACTTAGGATCTCTATCAACAATGACTTTCACCTCCAACCCTAGTTTTGAGGGACAGAGGCAGGAGAATTCCCATGAGTTCCAGGCCTACCTGAACTGAATAGTGAATTTCAGGCCAGCCTGAATAAGAGCTTATCTCAGAAAAGCAAAACACACCAAAACAAAGCCTTTGAGCTTTTCCACTTCCTTTTACTGGATCATATGCTATTTTATAAATAAGATTACTCTTAACTACCTGGCCTGTTTTTCCAAAAGGAGAGAATCTTCCTGCCTTTCTGGATATAGTTTTCATTCACCTGCTGAGTATAAGTCTAGACTGATTTCTTGGCAGGTGATTGAGAACTTCTGTGTGATTGGGGGGGTGGTGGTGAGTATTTTTAATTTTATTACTTTTGTTTTTTGAGATAGGGTTTGTAGCCCTATCATGTAGCCCTGACAGACCAGGCTGGTCTCAAACTCAAATCTACCTGCTTCGGCCTCCTGAGTACTGGGACTAAAGACATGCACCACCACCGCTGACTTTTTGCTGTGTCTTAACTTGGCTATTATATAGCTGTACCTTCCTAAAGAACTAAGACCCACTGGTATTGTAGTGGGGAGTTTGGTAGAATTTGAAGGACCTAGAGGTGAAGCATCATAGCTGGGGCGGCTCACTGGGTGGCTAAGAAGACCATCCAAAGGTGATGCCAGGAGGCTTAGGAACAGGCATTGTTAACAGCAGCAGCCCTTGGATCATTGTCCAGTTTGATTCAGGCCCTAGAAAAAGAAAAAGACTTCTTCTCTCTCCTCCTTTGTTTCTTGCTACTGAAAATCCATGCAAGTGCTATGAATAATTAGAGATGGCTCATCTGGAGAAGAGAGGCTTGTGTGTACAGTTCTTAGGACCCGATCACAACCGGGTCCATTTTCAAGTTGAAGGCTGTGATTTAGGCTTGACTCTGAGCCTGAACATTGCACTGGCTTCAGGTATGTGTCTGTCTGAAGGTCAGTTTCTGTCCTCGTGGAATCGAGTTCACTGTGTGAACCATGATCAGTCGGTACTGTCAGAACTTGCCTGACTGGGCTAAAGTTCAGCAGTCCTAACACAAAGTTCTCAGCCCCTCCCCACAGAAGTTAAAAATCTAGCATATTATAATGGGGGCGGGGGAAGGAGTAATCCCCATAGCCTGGTCTGCTTCCAGCTCTCTAGTTTGCTGTTCCTTTTGTCCAAAGAAGGAAAGACACTCAGAGAGAGAGAGAGAGAGAGAGAGCCCTTATAACCCAGAAAGGTCTGTGGTTCACAGCCCTGGAGAAAGTTCAAAGATTCAAGGCTCCAAGTGGAGGAACGCTGTTTCTACTGTACTAACTTCCGGCCAGATGCAGTTTATGATTTTGTTTGTTTTATCTTTAATCTGTTTTGGAGTATAAAAGTGTAAATATGTTTTTAATGAAAATAAAGTGGTTAAACATAGGATTAGATTTGAGTGACTATTAGATAGTTTATTTTTTAAGAAATTTGCCTGTGTTTATAACTCTCGAGTGGACAGCAGTCTCATCGCTTCCTGTGTGTGTGTGTGTCTTTACAGCTTCTCACGGGCTTTCTTGGCAAACCACAGTCAGTGAAAAGCCCGTTTGGTTTTCCAAGGGAAGAATCTAAAGAAACATCTTGACTGTAGTAATCCTTGTTTCTGTTTAAATATTGAATACAGCAGCTCTAACTTCTGAAACAAAACAGGTCGGAAGCTAGGGATTGTACAAAGTTCTGAGTTCAAATCCCAGCCCCAGAAAGCAGCTGCCTCTTCAGGGCAGAAATGGCACGCAGGTGGTATTACTCTCTACTTTTACCAAGCTCAGAGAGCATGTTCTTTGCTTGAAGGAGCACACACTTGGTCATTTGTAGAACAGAGAGCAGAATCAGCCCTTCCTGTTTCTGTTGAGTGTCCTGGCTCCTGGAGGCATCTATCTGCTCCTCCGATTTCTGTTGAGTGTCCTGGCTCCAGGAGGCATCTATCTGCTCCTCTGGCTTCTGTTGAGCGTCCTGGCTCCAGGAGGCATCTATCTGCTCCTCCGGTTTCTGTTGAGTGTCCTGGCTCCAGGAGGCATCTATCTGCTCCTCCGGTTTCTGTAGGG